ATGGAGACCTACTTAAATGCAAGTAACCAACAGAGGACTGGGAATCAGCCAAGGACCATAAGGGTGCATACCCTACTAACTTGTTTGACCTAGCCAAATACTATACACAATATGACCATACATAGATGACAGCAAAGAAATGAGTGAAATACTGAAGTCCTAATATGACTCAGCATTTAGTGAGTTGTTAATCAGACTAAGGGTCGACAATCTAAATTAATTTTTTATGACCAAGATTCAAAATTTGGTCAATTCAAGGATTCCTGATATAATCCCAACACCACAGGACTTCAAAAAAGTAATAAATGGCATGTCCATGCACTCTGCCCCAGGTCCAAACTCGTGGAATTCCATATTCATCAAGAACTGCAAGAAGCCCCTTTCATGTGGCTTAAGCATTCAATGAAGAGGAAGCATGGACACAGGGGTCATCCCACAGTCACTAAAAACAATAAATATAGCCCTACTCCACAAAGATGGCAGTAAAGCAACTGCAAAGAATTACAGACCGATTGCACTAACATCCTACAACATAAAAATATTTGAAAGTGTTCTAAGAAGCAAGATCGCCAACCACTTGAATACCTATAAATTGCACAACCCACGACAGCATGTGTTTAGAGCAGATCACTTCTGCCTCTCACAGATACTGCATCACTATGACATGGTCTTCGATGCACTGGAAGAACAATCAAAATGCAGATTAGCATACAGAGACTTTGCGAATACCTTCAACAAGTGCGATCGTGGCGTAATAGCACACAAAATGTATGATAAAGGAATTGCAAGAAAAATTGGTAGATGGATCTACAACAGTAAACAGAGTAAAGTCAGAGGAGGCCACAGTGAAAAGCTCTGTTCCACAAAGTACAGTACCCTTTCCCATCCTTTTCCTCATCCTCATATCTGACATAGACAGAGATGTAAGCCACAGCATCATGTCTCCTATGCTGATGACACCAGAATTTGCATGACAGTGTCATCCATCAAGGACACTGCAAATCTCCAAGCTGACATTAACCAAGTCTTTAAATGGGCATCAGAAAAAATATGAAAATCAATGAAGACAAATTTTAATTACTCTGCCATAGAAAAGTTGAAATAAAAACTGTATCGAGTATAAAACAAATTCCAGTCACACAACAGAGCGAAAAAAACTAATGTGAAGGACCTGAGAGTGGTAATGTCAGAGGATCTCGCTTTCAAAGCTCACAACAGTGTATCTACCACATCTGCTAGGAAAATGATAGGATGGATAATGAGAACCCTCAAAACAAGGGATGCCAAGCCCTTGAAAATTCTCTTCAAACTGCTCATTCTCTCTAGACTGGAATACTGCTGTACACTAATGGCCCTTTTCAAAGCAGGTGAAAATGTAAATCTGGAGAATATACAGAGAACTTTCACTGTACAAATAAGTACCATAAAGCATCTAAATTACTGGGAATGAGTGAAGGTCCTCGACCTGTACTCCTTGGAGTGCAGGCAAGAAAGATGCATGATAATATACACTTGGAAAATCCTAGAGGGACTAGTCTCAAATCTTCAAACTGAAATCACTCCCTACAAAAGCAAAAGACTTGGCAGGCAGTGCAACATCCCCCAATGAAAAGCAGGGGTGCCATGAGTATGCTAAGAGACAACACAATAAATGTCAAGGGCCCAAGACTGTTCAACTGCCTCCAGGCATACTTAAGGGGAGGGTTTTCTAATACACCCCTGGCTGTCTTCAAGAGGGGGCTGGGCAGACACCTAAAGTCAGTACCTGACCAGCAGAGCTATGGTTTATACGATGGTCTGCATGTAGCCAACAGTAACAGCCTGGTTGATCAGACCCTAATCCCCCATGAGGCCTAGTCATGGACTGGGCTGTGGGGGCATTGACCCTCAAAATACCCTTCATGTATACTCCAGATAGTTCCACCATAAATTACAAGGTTAAGTGCCACACTATTATGCAGGGTTCTGCATTGTGGTATACTGTTATGTTATGGACAAGTGCGCCATAATTTATAAATAATGTTATCAATTTGTGGGCACTTTAACCCTTTGACTGTTTCAGGCCCCTTTCTGAAACTGTCATTCTATGTCGCTCAATTTTAAAAAAAAAAAAAAATTATTTTTTTCTTATGAAATGATAGAGAATCTTTTCCCGATGGTAATGACACCAAAAGTTCGAAATTTGGTCAAAAACTCATGGAATTATGCTCCCGCGAAGTTAGCGGTCTCGGCGACATATGTGTATCGGCGATTTTGCCGACTTTGAGCCCTATTTTCAGCCAATTCCATTGTTCCAGTTGACCAAACTCATAGCTATTTCTTTAGAACTCCACTTTATCTATCAGCTGAGTACAAGAAACCTCCCATTTACTAATCTGGACTACCCAATATGGTGGTCAGAAATTAGCAATTTGGCCAATTTCATGCAAACTAAAAAAGATGCCAATTTCAAATTAGGGTCCAGAATAAACAAGGTAGACATTCGTGGCACTAAAATAACATATGCTCTGTTCATTAGTCACATCTCTAGGCCCCTCTTATATTATTATTGCTTTCTATTTTTATTTTTCATTCATACAAAAAAATACAAAATTTACTGTTATGCAGACTATGGCATTATTGTAAAAATGGTATAAATAATATCAGTGCACTAGTGAAAGAATATTAGACTCCCCAGTTGACATGTACTGGACGTGTGGTGTGATTTATTTACTCCTGAACATGGTAAAAATCGAACATTTCTGCTACTTTGAGCTCAGTTTCAAGGTCGTTTTCATCGTCAAAGTAATGAAAATCATCTCTATTTCTGTAATATGTTTTCCATTTTATCACCTAAGACCATGAAAACGTGAATACAACAATAAATACTATACGAAAATACACCTCAAAGTCGGCGTTTTATTCCAAAAAAACGATCAGTTTTTTTTTTCTCATTACGCAATGTGTGCTGCAGGATTTTTTTTATGTGGTGCACACTGACCACACAGACCCATTCTCTCACATGTAAGCCTACTAGCTTTCTCCCGCTTGATTTGAAGCCGCTAGAATTATTGAGTATATATACGTCAGAAACATTGGCTCGTAAGACGTATTTATACGTCGAAAACAGTCAAAGGGTTAAGTTAGCCTAAACTTTAAATTTAAGTTAAGTCACAGCGTGACTTATTTCCCATTGGAGTGTGGGAATAGCGTGCATCTGAGTGAGCGTAGGTTGTCACGCGGGAACAGCGTGGGTGATCAGCATACAGATCATGGCACCCTTTTTTTTTTATTATACTCCTTTTTCTGAGGTTACCATTATGCTCACCTGGGCTCTGATATGGTCCTGGCCCTTATGGGTGAGTGAGGGCTTATGAATTTGGGTGAGATTGTGATGTATTTCCCTAGGAGGCTAAGACAGTGGGGTTAATGTAATGATACTCACTGGGTCCTAGCACATATTTATGTATTTGTGTTTTGTTTTGTTTTTGTGTCTTAGCCTGACAGCATCCTAATGTATTGTTTGTTTAGGTGAAAAGTACGGAAGGAAGGTTGTGTGTGTTTTGTGCAGTGTTTGTATATAGCTTATGAATATTAAATGTATATTTCTTCAAATAGGGTCTTTGCTTGTCTTTGCTGATTTAGCGCTTTGTGAATTTACCAAAGTAGCCCTCAGGTGGTTCATTTTCTATTATTTCACATTATGCCCCTAGACAAGGCCTACACCTCCCCCTCCCCCCCATCCCCCAGGCTCAACCTTTCTGTGTAACACACTCCACTCTCACTCATCTTTATTTTGTGAGGCCCACAAATCACAAAACAGACCATGAATTAAAACATAAAATTTTAAGTTTGGGCTGTGAACACACAAATAGACCAACAAGTAACTTGTCACCAAGCCTCAAAGGGGCAATATTTTATAAGTTGACTGATGTAGGTGTGGCTAACAGAGAACCTGCCATTATGACTTTATCCACCCAACAAAGAAATGTTTTTTTTTTTTTTACAACACACTGGCCGTCTCTCACCGAGGCAGGTGACCCCAAAAAAGTAAGAAACACTTTCACCATCATTCAAAACTTTCACAAAGAAATGTTTTGCCCATTAAAGGTTGCAGCTCCTGTTGCAGGCTCAAATTCCCAATAAGTGTAAACGAGGAGGATGTGGGTCTCCTGTAGCTAGATTGCTAGCACACTGAGCTATGGTATGGGTGGAAAGATTAGGACATGTCTCCTTAAGACACTTGCTGTCCCTGTTCATCTATCAGTAAAATAGGTACCTGGGTGTTAGTCGACTGGTGTGGGTCACATCCTGGGGACAAAATTGACCTTATTTGCCCTAAAAGCTCTACGTAACAAGGGGATTTCTATATCTAGGCCTGTATACTTTGTATATATTTGTAGAAACAAAGATTACTATTATTATTATTTACAGAGGGGCATTTATTTAGTCATGGTCACTCTATAAGGGAATCCCATCCAGTGTAGCCCTTAGTATCAACAAAGACCATATTCTCCCTAATGAAGAAAAAACTGCTGACAGCTCAATTCACAGCTCACATATAAGCACAATTGTGTTCTGAGAACACATTTCAAAAGTAAAAATAGACTATTACCTAATCAAATTCAGAGAAGAGACCTGGACTGCATCTTTCCCCCAGTTATGGTACTATATAAAATAATTTTTCTTGCATGAATCTGCTTTGATTAGGATTACCACAGAAGACACACCTTGGACAAAGGTCATACAAGCCAATATATTAATTTTACCTCGACCTTGTTTCTCAATGCAATTTAAGGAGTAATTGCACCAACTTTGCAAAAGCCTAAACAGTATAATCAACTTTTTTCCTAAATATTTTATTTTCTGATGAAAAGCCTAAACACACAGAGGCATTTAAAATGTTTAGGAGGATTCTGTATATCGCTACTGGCTCAAGGATGGAAAGTTCTTGAAGTTCTTTGGAAGGGAATAAAGAGTAAAAAATAAAGCTAAATAGGTTAATTGATTTACAGACTTACCTGTAGTAAGTTCTCCTCCTGGGGCAGCACGAAGGATAAGAGCACTTTCTGCTAGAGAGAGAGAGAGGTAGCTGTTTTGATTCCTTGTTGATGTGTACAATATTAAACCATCTGGTTCTTCTGTCTTGAACTTGAACACAAGTTGCAAGCCATTACCATCAGGACTGTCATATTTCACATAGCCTGGAGCTGACTTGTCAAATGATACAAGACTGGCTACCTACAAAAAAAAAAAAAAAAAGAGTCTGATATAAGTCAATTGGTGCATTACAATTATAGGAACCTGTAATTTAATTTTCATCTAGTCATTAAAAACACTGGGAGCTATGTGGCACATGTAGAAAATGTACTGAATATGAGACATGTTACTACAAGACAGTTAAGGATTTTTAAGCAGAAAGTGAGGCCCAGGTTGAGTTATGTAAGAGGGAGAAGCTGTTGAGGTGGTGTAGGCATATAGAGAGGATGGAGGGATAAAATGACAAAGAGGGTGTACAGGCATACCTCATTAATACGGAGCTTGCTTTAGAGTGCTTCAGTAATACAGTGGACCCCCGGTATTCAATGGCATCGGTATATGTTAAGTTCGGTATTCGATACATTTTAATGCAAAAATTTTCCCGCGCCACTCGCTAAAAAACCCACCACACGCGATTCGTCCGGGACGCATCCACGTGAGTGCCAGTGTTTACAAACCAGCCAGTGTGCTCGCATCTAAGCATACATTTGGTACATTCCATATTATCAAAGTGTTTTTGGTGCTTGTTTCTGCAAAGTAAGTCACCATTGGCCCCAAGAAAGCTTCTAGTGCCAACCCTGTGGTAAAAAGGGTTAGAATTAGTATGGAAATTAAGAAAGATTTTGAAGGGTTTGGGGCTAACCCTGAGACGCCTATGCCAGTTGTGGAATCCATTGTGCCTACTTCAAAAATTAAGGAAATGTGTGCAAAGTGGGTTGAAGTGCAAACCTTCATGGATGAAAATCACCCTAACACAGCTATTGCAAGCCATGTTGGTGACTATTACAATGACAATGTTGTGGCCCATTTTAGACAAATCGTAAAGGAACGGGAGGTACAGAGCTCTATGGACAGATTTGTTGTGCAACAGAGGTCCAGTGACTCTCAAGCTGGTCCTAGTGGCATTAAAAGAAGAAGGGAAGTAACCCCGGAAAAGGACTTGCTACCTCAAGTTCTAATGGAAGGGGATTCCCCTTCTAAACAATAAGTTCGACACTCTCCCCTCCTCCCATCCCATCAATCATCACCAGATCTTCATTAAAGGTAAGTGTCATGTATTCTATTGTTAGTAGAGTACTACTAACTGTGCATGTCTTCTTCAGTTTGTGTGCATTAAACTTAATATTTCATGTGGTAAAACTTTTTTTTCATAGTACTTTTGGGTGTCTTGCATGGATTAATTTGATTTCCATTATTTCTTAAGAGGAAAATTAATTTGCCTTCCAATAATTTTGGCATACGATGAGCTCTCAGGAACGGATTAATATCGTATACCAGGGGTCCAATGTATGGCATGTTTCAATTACATTTATGCTCATTATTTTTGGCGCTTGCCTTGCTCTTAAGATGGTTTTCGGCAATTTACAAGGAGATGGAAGGGGTCCAAAAGGCTTTGTGTTTTAGGGGCTTGAGAATCCAGCAGGTTTGTGCAAGTGGTTTTTTAATGAACATGCTGTTGGAGTGTGAGGAAAATGACATTTATGAAGGGATTCAGGAAAAACCAGTTAGCCGAACTTGAGTCCTGGAGGCGCTAAAGGCAGTGCCTGTGTTCTGCAGGAGGTGTAGGGATGTAACAGTTGGAGGTTACTCTGAATTATGATGCCAGTATTTTCCAGGAAAGATAATGAGTGAAGAAATGATGGTATGTTTCCTTTACTGGGTCACCCTGCCTTGGGAAAAGATGACCATTGAGTTAAAAAAAAAATGAATTTCTGATATGAATGTTCCTTAATTTGCTTATAAACTTTTATGTAGACTGTTAATAAGTCATAACACATGAAATTTGCAATAATGATATAATATTTAATGATATTTAATAGGGGTCGTCCTCGAAAAGGTTGGAGGGAGGGGGTAAAGAAGGTTTTGTGGGTGAAGAGCTTGGATTTCCAGCAAGCGTGCGTGAGCGTATTAGATAGGAGTGAATGGAGACGAATGGTATTTGGGACTTGAAGAGCTGTTGGAGTGTGAGCAGAGTAATATTTAGTGAAGGAAATCAGGGAAACTGGTTATTTTTATATAGCCGAACTCGAGTCCTGGAAATGGGAAGTACAATGCCTGCACTTTAAAGGAGGGGTTTGGGATATTGGCAGTTTGGAGGGATATGCTGTGTATCTTTATACGTATATGCTTCTAAACTGTTGTATTCTGAGCACCTCTGCAAAAACAGTGATTATGTGTGAGTGAGGTGAAAGTGTTGAATGAAGATGAAAGTATTTTCTTTTAGGGGATTTTCTTTCTTTTTGGGTCACCCTGCCTCGGTGGGAGACGGCTGACTTGTTAAAAAAAAAAAAAATGAATATCTAAATTTGAAAGTTATTTCATATACTGTAATAAAGCCACCATGTTTTAAACAGTAAATAAATATTTACAGATATTAAACTAAGAATTTTCATACAATGTATAGCATTTATAGCACATTTCCACTGATTTTTCCTACAAGTAGGATTCAACTTATTTCAGAACATTCATACTGTGTCGTCATGTTAGTTCCTAAAGTCTCTAACAAAACCTCTAAACAGTTGAAGTTAGTTAACCCTTCCCAGGTCAGTCCTATAATATTATGGCTCCGAATCTGGAATCGGCCCCGTAATACTACGCCAAAATTCTAGCAGCTTCCAATTTTGCTGAGAAAGCTGGTAGGCCTACATATAAGAAAATGGGTCTGTATGGTCAGTGTGTGCAGTATAAAAAAAATCCTGCAGCACGCAGTGCATAGAGAAAAAAACTGCGACAGTTTTTGGTGTAAAACAGTAACTTTGCAGTGTATTTCTGTATGGTTTTTATGGTTGTATTCTGGGTTTCTTGATCTTATTTGAGAGAATGGAAGATATATTATAGAAACCGGAATGATTCTGAATGGTTTACCAACTACAAGTAGCTTGAAATTGAGCTCAAAGTAACAAAAATGTTCAATTTTTGCCAATGTTCAAGAGCAAACAAAACAGTCATGTGTTCAATACACGTCAACTGGCCTGTCTAATATGCACTCACGAATGCACTGACATTATTTATACAATTATTATTACCATTATGCAATAGTCTGAATAACAGTAAATCTTCAGTTTTTTTTTTTTTGTATGAATAAAAATTCAAAATGAAAAGCAAACGTAATATAAGGGGGGCCTGGAGATGTGACTAATGAACAGAGAAACTGTTATTTTAGTGCCAAGAATGTTTACATTATTTATTCTGGACCCTATTTCAAAATTGGCCTTTCTTGAATTTTGTGTGAAATTGGCCAAATTAATAATTTTTGATCACTTTACTGGTTAGTTGAAATAGGTAAATGGGCAGTTTCTTGTACTCAATTGATAGAATAAAAGGAGTTCTAGCTAAACAGCTATGAGTTTGGTCGACTGGAACAATGGAACTGGCCCAAAATAGGGTTCAAAGTGGGTGAAATCGCCGATGCGTAAATATCGCTGAGACCGCTAACTTCGCAAGAGCGTAATTACATACGTTTTCCATCAAATTTCATGCTTTTGGTTTCATTACCTTCAGAAAAAGATTCTCTATCATTTCATAAGAAAAAATTTTTTTTTTTTTTTAAATACTTCAAACCTGGGAGCAAGTTTGCGAGCAGGGGTCTCGGCCCTCAAAGAGTTAAATAATGCATGGGAAAACTCTATATGATATCACCATCTCATAAAGAAAAAAGTCCCCACAGTGAACAAGGAATTAAAGATAAAAATAAAATATACAGTAGATATACTAAAAATTTACAGTAAAACTATATATCTTGAACACAAAATTTACAAATGTTTTAACATTACAGTAAGAACTCTATAAGTAGTTAAAATAAAATCAGCCTACCTTGATTGGACATCCTGGTGCTGTATCAATAGACTCTTTGCTCTTGGAAAGGTCCACAGCAACAGAGGACATAACAATATTGTCAATACAGCCATTAAAGTCCTCGTTAGTAATGTCAATGTAATCATGTTCTCCAGGATAGCCACCAAAGAACATTGTTTCTGGTGTACTTGAAAACTGTTTTACATTACCAGGAGATTCAGCTTGGATAGTCTCAGAGGCAATCTGCAACACCAGAAAACATCAGCAATACTTAATACATAGTATAGCAATTAATGATTCAGTATTTAGGAAGGGATGAAATATCATGTTTCAACATTTGGTCAACATTCTCAGCTCTAAGCTTACAGTATTATGTGGACACTGTACAAATAGTGCTATAATCACAGAAATACAAAAAACCTCAGTGGATCACAGGTTTTATACAAACCTTTACATGGATGAACATCACAATGGAGAATATTAGCAATAAAGAATAAAATGGCACAATACCATGCACAGAACAATACACAAATAGCCTGCACATAGAAGAAAGACACTTACATTGATGTTTCAGTTCAACTTCGACCATTAACTAGTTAATGGTCCAAGTCAGACTGTAACAAAAGTCACAAATTTCTTTCTCATATGTGCAGGTTATTTGTGCATATTAGCTATATTTGTGATTGACTCTGAAGATAATCCTACTCTTAAAGCTATATGAAAAAGTTTGTTCAGTGTCATATATAATACTCATTCATAGAAAATTTATTTGGGGCCCCGTTACCAACCTTCAACACTCCATTGCGTTGCTGCCTGGCAACTTCCACGTGGTGCCACTCTCCGTCATGGTAAGTGTTGTCAGATTTCATGGTAGCTACGCCTGATCCCAGGTTATATTGAAAGATTACATGGCCTTCTTCCATTGCCACTGTCATGTACTGATCCTGGGAGCAGTGACAATATTGTTTAAAATAAAAGCGCTTGTATAGACTAATTACAATAATTCAAAGAAAACTATATAATAAAATGAAAAGAGAGAATGAGAATGAAATTAAGACACATGTGCAGCATCAGGGTATCTTTATTGTAGATGTAGGCTCCTTGCCTCTGCTCCAGAACATCCACGACTACTGTGCTTTTTGCACCAACTCCAAGGCTGAGGGATTGATTACCTCATCTTCTGTATACAGTTCTATTGTGTTCAAATCATGTCCTGGAATTTGTATTGATAAAGCCACTGGATGGTGAAACATCTACAATAAAGATACCCAGATGTTGCACATGTGTCTTAATTTCATCTTGTCAGTATTACCTTTGAAGAATTTCGAGAGTATAACTACTCACTGAGCCCAGCCATGGGCCAGGCTCGTCTGGTGCTCGCCTGGTCAACCAGGCATACCATTCTTGTACAATGAAAATGAGAGTGTTCAGGATACTTTAACAAGTTTGACTTAAGTACACCTATGTAAGAAACTGAATCAGAAGTATAATATTATACATATTTTAACAGAAATGTGTATACATACAGGGCCTCCATCAATTATAAAGAGAATGCCATCCTCAGCATATGTTTTGAAATCCATTTGTATGTCAAACTGTCGCTTGAAGCGGTATCCATTACGAGTGTCCATAGCTGCATATCCATTCCCATCAAATCGAAGACCTGTTGGGGGTGCCAGGTCAACAAGGCGATCCCTGAAAGATATAATTTCCCAATTGATTTTTTTAAAACGTTGGCCATTCCCCACCGAGGCAGGGTGACCCAAAAAAGAAAGAAAAAACACAAAAAGAAAGAAAAAACTTTTATCATCCTTCAACACTTACCATCACTCATACATAATCAGTCTTTGCGGGCATTGTGCTTCCCATTTCCAGGACTCAAGTCTGGCTAACCAGTTTCCCTGAATCCCTTCACAAAATATTACCCTGCTCATACTCCAACAGGTCGTCAGGTTCCAAAAACCATTCATCTCCATTCACTCCAGTCTAACATACTCACACATGCTTGTTGGAAATCCAAGCCCCTCCCCCACCTAACCTCCTTTACCCCCTCCCTCCAACCTTTTTGGGGACAACCCCACCTTCCTTCCCCAACAAATTTATACACTCTCCAAGTTATTCTACTTTGTTCCATTCACTCTACATGACCATACCACCTCAACAGCCCCTCTTCAGCCCTCTGACTAATACTTTTAGTAACTCCACACCTCCTAATTTCCACACTATAAATTCTCTGCGTAATATTTACACCACACATTGCCCTTAGACACAACATCACTGCCTCCAGCTGCCCTCCTCATGCAGCATTTACAACCCATTCCTCACACCCATATAACAGTGTTGGTACCACTATATTCTCATTCATTTCCTTCTTTGCCTCAATGGTTAATGTTCTTCATCTCCACAGATACCTCATTGCACCACTCATCCTTTTTCCTTCATCAATTCTATGGTTAACCTCATCCTTCATAAACCCATCTGTTGACAAGTCAACTCCCAAATAGTATCTGAAAGCATTTACTTTTTCCATATTCCCTCCCTCCAATGTGATATCAAATTTTTCTTCATCTAAATCGTTCGATGCCCTCATTACCTTATTCTTATCTAAGTTCAATTTCAACATTCTACCTTTACACACCCTCCCAAACTCATCCACTACCCTACACAACTTTTCTTTGGAATTCCCCAAAAGCACAGTATCATCAGCAAAAAGTAACTGTGTCAACTCCAATCTTGCATTCGATTCCCCATAATTTAATCCCAACCCCTCCCTAACACCCTACCAATTCCTTCTTTTACAATCCCATCTAAAAATATGTTAAACAACCACGGTAACATTACACATCCCTGTCGAAGACCTACTGTTACTGGGAAACAATCTCCCTCTCTCCTACACACCCTAACCTGAGCCTCAGCATCCTCATAAAACTTTTTACAGCATTTAGTAACTTACTACCTATTCCATATACTTGCAATATCTGCCACATTGCTCCCCTATCCACTCTATCATATGCCTTTTCCAAATCCATAAATGCAATGAAAACTTCCCTACCATTTTCTAAACACTGTTCACATATATATTTTAATGTAAACACTTGATCTACACATCCCCTACCCATTCTAAGCCTCCTTGCTCATCTGAAATCCTGCTCTCTGTCTTACCTTTAAGTCTTTCAATAATAACTACCATACACTTTACCTGGTATACTCAGTAAACTTCTTTCTTCTTCTTTCAACACACCGGCCATATCCCACTGAGGCAGGGTGGCCCAAAAGAAAAAACGAAAGTTTCTCCTTTCAAATTTAGTAATATATACAGGAGAAGGGGTTACTAGCCCCTTACTCCCAGCATTTTAGTCGCTTCTTACAACACGCATGGGTTACGGAGGAAGAATTCTGTTCCACTTCCCCATGGAAATAAGAGGAAATAAACAAGAACAAGAACTAGAAAGAAAATAGAAGAAAACCCAGAGGGGTATGTATATATACGCTTGTACATGTATGTGTAGTGTGATCTAAGTGTAAGTAGAAGTAGCAAGACATACCTGAAATCTTGCATGTTCATGAGACAGAAAAAAGGACACCAGCAATCCTACCGTCATGTAAAACAATTACAGGCTTTCGTTTTACACTCACTTGGCAGGACGGTAGTACCTCCCTGGGCGGTTGCTGTCTATAATTTTTACAATCTCTTTTATTCCCCTTCCCTTTATATAAAGGAGAACTATACATGCTTTCTGTCAGTCCCTAGGTATCTTCCCCTCTTTCATACATTTATTAAACAAAAATACCAACAACTCCAAAACTATATCCCCCCTGCTTTTAACATTTCTGCCATAATCCTGTCAGTTCCAGCTGCTTTACCCCCTTTCATTCTACATAATGCCTCATGCACCTCCCCCACACTCACATCCTTCTCTCCTGCACTCCTAAAAGATGTTATACCTCCCTGGCCAGTGCATGAAATTACTGCCTCCCTGTCTTCATCAACATTTAAAAGTTCTCAAAATATTTTTGCCATCTACCCAATACTTCCAGCTCCCCATCTACTAACTCCCCTACTCTGTTTTTAACTGACAAATCCATTTGATCCCTAGGCTTTCTTAACCTGTTTACCTCACTCCAAAATTTTTTATTATTCTCAACAAAATTTCTTGACAGTGCCTCTCTCTCATTATCATTTGCTCTCCTTTTGCATTCTCTCAGCACTCTCTTCATCTTTCTTTTACTCTCCATATACTCTGCCCTTCTTATATCACTTCTGCTCTGTAAAAACCTCCCATAAGCTACCTTCTCCTTTCTTGCACCCTTTACCTCATCATTCCACCAATCGCTCCTCTTTCCTCCTGCACCCACCCTCCTGTAGTCACAAACTTCTGCCCCATACTCTAACACTCCATTTTTTAAACTATCCTATCCCTCTTCAACCCCCCCCCCCCTTATTACCCATACTCGCACTAGCCCACCTTTCTGCCAATAGTTGCTTATATCTCACCCTAACTTACTCCTCCCTTAGTTCATAAACTTTCACCTGTCTCTTACATGTTGTTGCCATTTTCCTTTTCTCCCATCTACCTCTTACTCTAACTGCAGCTACAACTAAATAATGTACATACTGAAGCCTACCCATCAACCTTTCATCCACCAATACACAATCTAACAAACTACTTTCATTACGTGCTATATCATATCTTGTATACAGCCTCTCCTCACTTAACGACAGAGTTCCGATCCTAAGACCATGTCATTAAACGAATTCGTTGCTAAGTGAGGAGCATACTATAATAATAGTGGGTTTGTGTCAATCATCTTTGATATTCTTTTAATATCACCTTTGCACTATTTGTAACATTTCTGGTATATTTTTAAATGTATATACAGTAGTTTACTGTATATTGAAATAAACAGAATAGAGAAAATCAGCTGTAATATCAGAGAGCCCATCGTAAGTCCAAGGCATCAGTAAACGAGTACACTGCTAAGTGAGGAGTGGCTGTACTTATTTACCCTCTTTTTCATAAAATATGTATTACTTAGATAGGGAAGCTGTGATTTCGTGTATAGGGCAAGGAGGAATAACATCTTGCAGGAGTGAGGAAGAGCCAGTTGTGAGTGTGGAGGAAGTTCGTGAGGCAGTAGGTAAAATGAAAGGGGGTAAGGCAGCCGGGATTGATGGGATAAGGATAGAAATGTTAAAAGCAGGTGGGGATATAGTTTTGGAGTGGTTGGTGCAATTATTTAATAAATGTATGGAAGAGGGTAAGGTACCTAGGGATTGGCAGAGAGCATGCATAGTTCCTTTGTATAAAGGCAAAGGGGATAAAAGAGAGTGCAAAAATTATACGGGGATAAGTCTGTTGAGTATACCTGGTAAAGTGTATGGTAGAGTTATTATTGAAAGAATTAAGAGTAAGATGGAGAATAGGATAGCAGATGAACAAGGAGGCTTTAGGAAAAGTAGGGGGTGTGTGGACCAGGTGTTTACAGTGAAACATAAAGTGAACAGTATTTAGATAAGGCTAAAGAGGTCTTTGTGGCATTTATGGATTTGGAAAAGGCATATGACAGGGTGGATAGGGGGGCAATGTGGCAGATGTTGCGGGTGTATGGTGTAGGAGGTAGGTTACTGAAAGCAGTGAAGAGTTTTTACGAGGATAGTGAGGCTCAAGTTAGAGTATGTAGGAAAGAGGGAAATTATTTCCCAGTAAAAGTAGGCCTTAGACAAGGATGTGTGATGTCACCGTGGTTGTTTAATATATTTATAGATGGGGTTGTAAAAGAAGTGAATGCGAGGGTCTTGGCAAAAGGCGTGGAGTTAAAAGATAAAGAATCACACACAAGGTGGGAGTTGTCACAGTTGCTCTTTGCTGATGACACTGTGCTCTTGGGAGATTCTGAAGAGAAGTTGCAGAGATTGGTGGATGAATTTGGTAGGGTGTGCAAAAGAAGAAAATTAAAAGTGAATACAGGAAAGAGTAAGGTTATGAGGATAACAAAAAGATTAGGTGATGAAAGATTGGATATCAGATTGGAGGGAGAGAGTATGGAGGAGGTGAATGTATTCAGATATTTGGGAGTGGACGTGTCAACGGATGGGTCTATGAAAGATGAAGTGAATCATAGAATTGATGAGGGGAAAAGGGTGAGTGGTGCACTTAGGAGTCTGTGGAGACAAAGAACTTTGTCCTTGGAGGCAAAGAGGGGAATGTATGAGAGCATAGTTTTACCAATGCTCTTATATGGGTTTGAAGCATGGGTGATGAATGTTGCAGCGAGGAGAAGGCTGGAGGCAGTGGAGATGTCATGTCTGAGGGCAATGTGTGGTGTGAATATAATGCAGAGAATTCGTAGTTTGGAAGTTAGGAGGAGGTGGGGATTACCAAAACTGTTGTCCAGAGGGCTGAGGAAGGGTTGTTGAGGTGGTTCGGACATGTAGAGAGAATGGAGCGAAACAGAATGACTTCAAGAGTGTATCAGTCTGTAGTGGAAGGAAGGCGGGGTAGGGGTCGGCCTAGGAAAGGTTGGAGAGAGGGGGTAAAGGAGGTTTTGTGTGCGAGGGGCTTGGACTTCCAGCAGGCATGCGTGAGTGTGTTTGATAGGAGTGAATGGAGACAAATGGTTTTTAATACTTGACGTGCTGTTGGAGTGTGAGCAAAGTAACATTTATGAAGGGGTTCAGGGAAACCGGCAGGCCG